CACTCTGGGATTAGTGTTTCAGGGAAGAAGGAAAGAAGAAGCCAAGGAAATAGCAAGGGTTTGGGGAGCCCAGCCTGAAGGAGTCGCTGGGAATTATTGTCTGAGGCTTCTGCCCCATTATGCACACACCCTCATCTCATCTGGCCTCTGTGTTCATTTCCAAACACTTCCTGATACCATTTTTCAATTTCTAAGGGGCCAAGCCTACAGCAGCTGAGGTTGCGTGTGTGCGTGTGTGTGTCTTCATGTGTGAGTATGCGTAGACTGGGATGAGTAGAATCAGTGAAATGTACCTCCCTCATGATGCCCACACACCCAGAGGAAGAAGCCAGGGTGTCAGGAAATTAGAGTAACAGATATATTTCAGATTTATAGACAGTATCACAAGATGGCAACTTCTATTTTGAGCCTTCATTTTTCCTGAGTGCCAGAAATTATCTTGTGTAAACTTCCAATTTCTTCTTTTTTCATAAGGATCATAGCTGAATACAAGTGTCTTACATAATCTTGAGAAGTTGGGAGAACACACTCTCACCAGTGTCTGTACTTCACCCACTTCTTAAGATTCCCATCATCCCATCTGATTCCTGTTCAGTGGCCTAGGTGGGCCATCTGAACTCGGGAAGGGTTCTTGTTCCTGTGTGTAACCCATATAGGCCTGTAGTTTTGCCCACCAGTTCTGTGCCACCAGTGGAGACCTGTGAGGTTGTCTAAGTCCTTGGCTACTTAGACATACCATAAAGCCATTTCTGTTTTGGGGTCCCGCTCCGGGTTTTACTTGAAAAAGATGTGAATTACTCCATCTTTTTACCTTGCAGATCTGTCTAGAGGCGTGGCAGGGAACTCCTTCCTGTGGGACCTTTTTGTGTCAGCGCTATCACTACATATTTTCCCTCCTGTTTCTTCCCCATTTGTTAATATGGAGGTGAGGAAGCCTTACTGTTATTTTCTCTCAAATCTTTTATCTGTACCTAAGTCTTCCCTTTCCTTCAGGTCCTAGGCTGTTGAAGCTCAAAAGCCAGCAAACCATCCCTTTATTTTCTGTTTTCAACAGTCATTTCTGGTCCGTGGGGCACTGAGTAGAGAATGCTACGGCCTACTGAGTGCTGAGAAAGACTCAGGGTGTATGGACTAGGTATCTGTTCCTATATCACAAATGTGTATTCTTCACAGTAAGATAGATCCAGGTCACTGAGAGGCTTGAACCCAGAGAGCTGGAACTCAAGACTGCCTCAGGAGAGTATAAAAGGTACCAGGACCAGAACACAAGCCCCCAAGCTAGGGACTATTGGGAGGTGATTTTGGAAAAGAAGTCTTTGTGAAAGGATTAAACAAGTTCCCATAAAACCAGATGCAGGGAAAGTGTTCTCTGATTACAAGTGTCCTTGCTGCCCCCTCCCTTGAGATTCCTGGTCCTCAGTAAAGCTCTTAGAACACTCAGCACAGTGCCTCGCCTGGTGCATGATACATATCTGGTATATTCCAGCGCAAGGTTACAGCATCTGGACATGGACAGAACTACAAGGAAAGATACAGAGGTGGGAAAAACTGCTTTTTACTCAGGGAAGTGTGCAAATTACAGGGTCTGGAGTGTGTGAACAGTGTTAGGTAGATGGGGTCTGTTCTTTACCATATGGGAAGTATAGAACTAGTAGAGTGATTTAAGCATCAGGGTACAATGGCCAGATTTTTTTTGTACTTTTTTAAGGAAGGGTCTACAGGGTGTTCAGGGTCTCACTACTAGATTGGACTCATAGTGATCTGCCTGTTTACAGCCTCCCAAGAGCTGGGATTACAGGCTCATGCCACCACACACAGTCTCAATTGCTGTCTCAGCATTCCCCGGGGGTGGGGGGCGGTGCACAGCAAGCCAGAGGATCAAACCCCCAGCCCCTGTGCCTCCTTGCAGGCACTTTAATCCACTGAGCTATTTGGCTAGCCCCAGATTGGTATTTTGATGGCTGGGGTGGAGGATGTGTTTGGGGAGAGCTGGAGGAGAGTACAGTGAGACAGAAGTGTACACTGCTAATGGAAAGGAGGGGATAGATTTAAGAGCTCTTGGGAGGTGGGCTCTACAGACTAATGAGATTAATGGGACAGTAAAGCATAAGAGAATATCTAAATGACCGCCATGTTTCTGGCTTTGGGTGATGGTATCTTTCCTTGAGATGGTGACGCCACTTGGAGTTGGGGATGGTGAGTTCAGTTTTGTATATTGTGAGTTTGAGATGCTGTTGGGCTCGAGGAGTAGCAATAAGACAGATACTGGGTGTGGTCACAGAACCAGCCTGGAACCTTTTTTTTTTTTTTTTCTATCTCATCTCATTGTGGGGAGTCAAAGATTCAAACCAGCCCTGCCTGCCTGGACTCAGGGCTGTGGCAGCAAGTACGCATGCCACCAATGTGTCTGCACACAGAGCCATACTAAGACCCCTGACCACGGCCTGGGGTGTGTTCAGCAACACAGGCCCAGTGCCCAGGTGGTGAAGTGAAAGCTTCCAAGTGACAGCTTAGTTCAGCAGGTGTGCTGTAGGGAAAGCCCTATGGAAGCCACAGAGGTAAGTCAGACTGCGGCATCCTGCCCTGAAGAAGCTCTCCTGCCAGTGGAGTGTCAAGAATACAACCCAGGATGAGATAGGTCCCAAGTGAAAGGTCCTGACAAAGGGACTGTAGGATGTAAAGAGAACAGTTTCAAAGTGCATCAGGAAAAAAATGCATGAAAGAGATGGTGTCTAAGCTGGCTTTGAAAACTCATCTTCAGTATGATCTGTGAACAGCATGAGCAAAGACCTGGAGGTGCAGGCAGTACAAATGATGTAGAGAGGGGCTGGCCTGTGTGAAGGACACAGTGGAAAGTCAGGCTGAAGAAGCAGGTGGGCCTAGGTTCTGGAGGGCTTTGAAGATCAGTGAAAGTATTTGGACTTAAAGCCATGGTAATAGGAAACCATACAAGATCTTTTATTGGAAGAGTGATAAATCAATTGGGGCTTGACTGAAGTGGTAGCCACTGAGCCATATAAGGACTTTATTATAGAGATTATACCTATACAGCCTTGGGAGCAGTGAGCAAAGTCTGTACAAAGCTGGTTTCTCTATATTTGGTGATGGCTTGAAGTTACTGTAGGCCCACCAGGTTGGCAGTTGGGAAAGAAAGCTGGTTTGCATTAGGGAGTGTAAGGGCAAAACAGAGCCCAGGAGGCCAGGCTAGAAGCTGAGTCTATTCTCATCATCTTCAAGTCCAATTATAGAGTTAGCCTGTAGGAGACATTGGCACTTCGTGCCACAGAGCTGCACTTGGGCCAGACTGAGGACAGTGAGGGAGGTGATCAGGCTAGGACTGGGCAGAGTAGACTGACAGGTGAGTGTTCCTGAGGTACCTGGAGCCACTTAGGGCTGTGGCAAGGCAGAAACGACATGGTAGAAGGGTGTGGCAGGGCAAAGCTGCTCTCCAAATGGCAACAAGGAAACAACCAGAGAGGAACAGGGGACTTCATAGTCCTCGAGGGCAGACCTCCATCATGAGCCATTCTGTTTATTGAGGACCTGTTTCTGTCACTCCAAGAATGTCATAAAATTATCACTTTTTTTTTTTTTTAATGTAGCTCCTGTTTTTTGAAACCAGATAGCTAAGGCTGGCCTTGTACTCACTATGTAATTCAGGCTGACCTTGAGCTTACAGCGATTCTCGGGTTCCCCAGTGCTGGGATTACAGGCGTGTGCTATCACACCCCGTCTCAGGTGGCTGGCTTAGTGTACCTGGGGTCAGGGCCAGTGCAGCATGTGGTGCCAAGGATCAAACCCTGTCCCTGCACTTGCCTAAGCAGGTGCTTAGTCCCATGAACTATCTTGCCAGCCCTCTGATTTTGAGACAGGATCTCACCATGAAGTTCAGGCTGACCTTAAATTCACCGTGTAGCTCAGGCTGGTCTCAAACTTACACATGTGGTTATTCCCTTGCCTCAGCATCCCAAGTACTGGGATTACAGGCACATGTCACCATGTCTAGCTCTAAAATTGTGCTTTAATCAGTAGATTGATTCACTGATGAAATTAAATCCCTGTGATCCAGTCACCTTCCTGAAGTTCATCTCTAAATACTTGAACATTTTTGGGTACATTTAAAGATGAACCTGTGTGTGGTAGCACATGTGTAATACTGGCACTTGGGAGGCTGAGGCAGGAGGATCACTGGAGGTTCAAGACCAGCCTGGGATACAGAGTGTTCAATGCCAGCCCGAACTACATAGCAAAGCCATGTCTAAAAATGAAAGATGCAAACTATAGTATCTTCTAAGCTTGTGGGCATCTCATATGGCCAACCCTAAGCAGTCTCAGGAGAGAAATTCTGGGAAGCACACTTCCAAACTTGTTTAGTTAAACTAGTGCAAACCTGCCACAAATGAACTAACCAGAGTCTTGCTGAGATGACTAACCCAGCCCAGCCCAAGCAGAATGGATGGTCAGGGCAGGGGCAGCCAATCTTTAGTAGCTCCCGTTGATTCTGCAGAATGGTAGTGGTCATTAGGCATTCATAACTTTCCCCGTCCTCTCTTTCCTTCTAAGCACAGTAGCTGGGCTTCTCCTCCACCTTGCTGTTAGTTGTGGCCACGTGCCGCCTATGGGCGGTGAACTGTGAGTGGGACAAAGCACGAGTGCTTGTGAGTGGAAGCTGTGAGATTGTGCAGCCTTTGTTTTTTGCTTATTTTTTTTGTTCGGAACCGGGGATTGAACTGAGGCCGTTGCGCTTGCCATGGAAGCACTTATTCTACTGAGCCATCACCCCAGCCCTTGTGCAGCCTTTGTTACCTTCCTTTTTCCCTTTGTCATGCTGAGCCATTCCAGATGGTAACTGCCTTGTCATCCTAAGTCCCAGATGGTGGAGAAAATGACAGAGCGCAGTCCCAGCAGAGCTCTAATGGACCCAATGCATGAGTGGGAAATAAAATGTAATGATTTTAAGCCACTGAAGATATGAGGGCATCACCACAGTATAACCTAGCCTATGCTGGCTGATAAGATGGAGAGCAACAGCCAAACTGGGACATTTTCCTGGAGAGCAGACCTCCCCCTAGCAGAGCTGTGACAGCAGCTTTCACCTCTGTGTTCCTCAGGCTATAGATGACGGGGTTTAGTGAGGGTGTCACAGCCCCATAGAACAGTGTGATAATTTTATCCACATTGGGGTCCTTGGCCTTGGTCTTGAAGTACATGAAGGAAATGGTCCCATAGAACACCACCACCACCGTGAGGTGGGCAGAGCAGGTTGAGAAGGCTTTGTGCCGGCCAATAGCAGAGGGCATCCTGAAGATGGCAGCCAAGATGAAAATGTAGGAGAGGAAGATGAGTAGTAGTGGGGTCAGTGACAGAGCAGCTGTGCCCACTGTTAATGTCACTACATTGAGGGAGACATCCCCACAGGCCAGTTTAAGCACTGCCAAGATCTCACAGAAGAAGTGATTGATGACATTATGGCCACACAAGGGAAGGCGCCAGACAAGGATGGACTGTAGTAGCGAGTTAGCAAAGCCTGTTACCCAGCTCAGCCCTGCCATCCACAGGCATGTCTGCCTTCTCATGAGCTCTGTGTATCTAAGTGGCTGGCAGATAGCCACATAACGGTCATATGCCATCAAAGCCAGAAGCAGGCACTCTGTAGCACCCAGTGCTAGGGTCAGGTACATCTGCAGGGCACAGCCCGGGAAGGAGATGGTCCTTTGGTTTTTCAGGAAGTTAGCTAGCATGAAAGGCACAAAGGAGGAGGTGCCACAGATGTCTACGAGGGAGAGGTTGCTGAGAAAGAAGTACATGGGGTTGTGCAGGTGGGGGTCCAGTGTGATCAGCGCTATGAGGAGGGAGTTGCCCAGTATAGTCAGACAGTAGATGCCCAGGCAAAACCCAAACAGTACAGCCTCTAGGTTCGGATGCTCCTGGAACCCCAGCAGGACATATTCCGTTACAGCTGTCCAGTTTGCCCCATCCATCTTATTCTCTTTCCTTTTCCATCTGGACCATACAGCTTTTTGGAAATAGCTCTAACTGGCAGATGTGTAACCTGCTGCAGCTCAGGCTCAGTGGCATTTAGCTTCACCATCTGTGTAAGGAGAGACTTGGGTTTCAGGTCTGCAGCTAGCCCTCTCGGCTCTGCAGTTCTACTGACATGACTTGGGCAAGGCTGTTTCACATTCTAGCCCCCGGGTTCTTCCCTATCATCCCCAGGTTTGCATAGAGGAGACAGCTCAGTAGAATAAGTGCTTGCCTGGCAAGTGCAGGGTCCTGAGTTCAATCCCCAGTTCCGGAAAAAAAAAAAAAAAAAAGGCAGGGGGAGATTCCTATTTGACTCACTCCCTTGGAATCACAAGTGTTAGGACTATTCAAAGGAAGCATCATTTAGGTTATGACTTCATATGACTGAATTATGCCCATACTATGTCAGATGCATTTATTCACTGACTCAATATTTACTGAGTGCCTCCTCTGTGCTAGGCACTGATTCAGGTCCTGGGGCTCTAGCAGTAAGAAAAAAATAAGTGAATCAAAGGATTCCACACTTGTCACTGTTGCTGCCCCCACTTTCTTGACTGAGGTGAGATGTGCTCTGAAAGGCAGGGGTGTGGGCATAGATAATCTTGCCTAGTGTCCTGTGGGCCATGAAGCTGGAACATTGGCTCTGCAGGATGTGAAGTCTGATTTCAGGTCATCTTTCCTAAAGGAATCATAGACAATTTTTTTGTGTGTGTGGAGGGGGGGAGGGTCTCATTGTGTAGCACAGCCTGCTCAGCCTCCTAAGTGCTGGGATTACAGGCGTGCCATCATGCCTGGCTTAGACCATCAACTTTTAAAAGTATACAAGATACTATACTTCCCAGTAGAGCTACTGCTCACAAGATTTAGCACTGGCCATGAAAGCCAGTGACTTACTTCTTGGCTTCCATATTGCTTTGTAGGAAAAATGTGGTTGGCAGGGATGCCACACAAGAGAATCGGGTATTAATCTGGCAGAAGCATCATCAGTTACTGGCTAGCTTTAGAAAAAGAGGAGTGGGAAGGGCTTCAGTTTCCTCCCAGGTAGCCACCACTGCTCCGCTGAGCTAGTCTCGCTGCCTCCTTGGGTCAAGCCAGTGTCAAGTGCCCGCAGGAGGGAGCCTAAGTGCATCCAAAGCATAAGAATTTTAGGACAGGAAATTTATCTTATGGCCCATGTGGTTCCTGGTCTAAAGGAGAAATAGGAGGCCAAGCATGAACTTTATCCTCCATCCAGTAATGAGGTCCTGTCTTTTCTCCTGGACTGAAGTTTTTCCCCTATCTCTTAACTGTGTCCACCAATTAAGGGGTGAAATACTCACCCTTACCTGAACAAACCATGTCTATTGCCACCTAATGACATCAGCCCATCTTTCCTTCCCAGTGAGCATGTTCCTGCTAATTTTTCAGATCTAAGCTCCGTGTTCCCTCTCTTCCTCTTCTGCCCTGTGTAGAGTTACCTCTCATTTCTTGTGCTTCCATAGTCCTTGGCTGTCTCTCCAAGTAACTATGTAGTGTGTTGTGCACCTGACCTCTCTACTACACTCTATGAGTAGAACCCACCAGGGATATAGCACAGTGGCTGCCTGGCAAGCTTGAGGTTATGAGTCAATTCTGGGTACAAAAAAAAAAAGATACAGAGTAGAACTCTGTCCCCTTCCATTTAGCACCAAATAAAGCAATATGTGGGACACTGACCAGGTCATTTGGGCTCTCTGAAATTTAGTTTTCTCTTAGAAATTGGGTTACTGTACAGCCCAGAGGAGATATGCACATGAAGCTGCTTGTGAGCTTCCCACAGTGATAGATGTTAGCACCCCGCAGGCACCTGCAGGGATCTATACTTACCACATCTGAGACAAGGATTCCTGTGTGTCTCCTGCCATCTCCTCCCCTGCCCTGAGCCTGTGTGGGCTTTTCATTCTCTTCTCTGAATTAAGGTGATTGTTAAGGAACAGTTTCTGGAACATACCAGGGCGGTTGCTTAATCTGGGTCAGTAACTCACTTTAACACTTACCCATGTGAAGATTTTAAGGCAGGCGTCTCTTGTTAAAGCTGGCAAAAGATGAACTGCCTGAGTGTGATGGCTCATTCATGTATGCACTCAGCTGACAGTCACTGAGCATGCTCTGTGTGCCAGACCTGTGCTAGGTAGGTGTGGGCAATATGGCGGGCACAGGTGACTTCAGCCTGAGGTGACTCAGGGTTTGTAGTCATTTAATCATTTGGTCTCAGTATCTTTGGATGCTTCCCTCCTGTTTTTGGGCTTTAGAGCTTTAGGATTCTCTTAGAATCTGGGGTGTAAAGATAGAGAAAAACCTGAAATCTGAAGAGATTTTGACAAGCCCTTGAAGGGCTTTGTCTTCTGCGCATGTGGCTACAAAAAGACCCATATTCATTCCAGATTCTGAGACCTGTTTCCAAGCAGGTGAAGGGTAGGAACCCACCAACTCTGCATTTCTCTTTCTCATCCTTGCCTCTCAAAAAACAAAACCCTGAGTGGGCGTGGCTTCTATGAGCAGGCTCCAGTCTGCTCTCTTTTGTTACTACTACCATATCCCTCTTCTACGCTTGCTGCAGCCTCCCAGGATAACATCCATGATTTGGACAAAGCCTGCACACTCCAGCCTTGTCCACTTTCCCAGGAGCCCTCTTTTGGCTGGACTGACCTTATTGTTCAAGGCTCAGCTCATACCAATCTCCCCTGTGCCACCTTCACAGATGCCTCTGTGTCTGACCACCCCTACACAGGATGACCCTCCCAGCTCTTAGCACAGATTAATGTCATTCTGCCCATCTTATGGTTACTTTGTTGTTGCTCTCTGACTAATCTGTGAAACAAACCTGTACTACTGAAGTGAAAGGGTCGTGTCCCATTCATCACTGTCATCCTGTAGTGCCCTGCACCCATGAGAGTCAGTGATTATCATTCAAATTGAACTGTTAGTTCAGATTCAGTGCTGCTGTTCTGTCAAAAATCCTGATCCCATGTCCCATTTTGAGATCAACAGCCCCTCTCCCTCCAACACACACCTCAACAGAGCATTGTAGCCTGTTGCCAAGGGAGCTTTGGGGGCCAGTCTCCTGCCTATGGGAACAGCTGCTCATGCTGGAGGGCTGCATCAGGAGCATGTAGATTTCCTTGACTTATGAGTCTGATTATAACATATTCAGGGAAATTTAAACTAGCCCAAAGAAAGTCGAGTCTAGAAAATACCAGGCTTCCAGGCTACCCAGAGCTTTGGCTCTGCAATGTGGGCACAGGATGGGAAGTCAGAGTGCTGGGGTGGGCTGGGTTATGCTACAGTAACATACAGCCTCATGATTTTAGTGACTTAGTGGGAGAAAGTTTTCTTTCTTTTTCATGCTGCATGTGCATGGTGGGCTCCAGGGACTCTACTCAAAGACCTTGGCTGGTGAAGGCTCCACTTATGGATGGGAAGGATGAACTGGAGAATCTTCTACAAGCAGTTAAATGCTTGTTCCCAGAAGTGACATACTTCATATCTGCCTGCAAACCACTAGCTTCTTGTAGATCTAACACATGTCCAGGAGGAAGAAAACCAGAAATATTGCCGAGCAGACTCTACATTTAGATACCATGATGTTTCACAACACTCTCAAAAAGATATTCTACCATCTGTCTGCCATGCCACATACTGTCATGTTCCAGGAAATCAAATTCACAGAGTGAAAGAAAATTGAGTGGATGGGGATGAAGAGGACCTGGGTTTCATTTTTGTTCGTGTTCTGCTGTGAGACTTTGGCCCGGAGTTTTTTTCTGAGAAATAGGGCCATCAATTTAGTGATCTATCTTTTGTATTCCACAATCTCCAAACATTTTTTCACATATTTCTAGAAACTTCCATCCCTATGATCTGACAGATCAACATTAGTTTGCAAGGTAAATATCACATTAATCTTATTGGTTGGAGATTTAACTTTTGCTATTTAGTACTTTAAGCTTCATAAATTACCTTGAAAGAAAGGAAGGGGAATAAGAAGAGAGCTTCAGGTACAGCTTCCCTGAAATGCTTGGATCAGAGGTTCCTGTGTCACTGCTTCCTCCCAGTGTGGCAGAGGAGTTGAGGGTGGGCTTTAGAGTTAGACTGACCAGGATCCAAGCCCAGCCCTTCCATTTACTCAGGTTTCTCAGCATCCCTACCTGCAATGGGAAAGAGTAGTATTTCCTTGGAGCAGGGGTTTATTTGGAGGATTTAGTGAGATGAAGTAAAACTCAGCACAGAGCCCGACATGTAGTAAATAGTGAATGGTGGATGATATTATTATCATTATTGTAATGAACCTTTCCCCTCCTGGTGATTTTTAAATGTTTTAAAAAGACTTCATGAGTATAATATGCTGGATGAATGCACCTTACCTCCTGGTACTGGCCTACTTGCTGAAGTGTATGCAGGGGGCTGCAGCCAGGTGAGTTGACCTGAGGCTTGGGGGAACCAGGGGGAGATACCGAGTTCATTGCCTGCAGTTCGTGGTGCTAGGGTTGGCCAGGTTGAGGGGCCCCAAGGACCATCCTCCAGGTCCCATATCTCATAGACAACTGGCTTGTTCCGTGCTCCTGGGGACCTCACAGTCCCTACCCAATTTAAAGTTCAAACTTTGCAGCTACACAAACTAGCACGTTTGGCAGCTAAGGGATGTGGGCTTCAGAGACTCTAGATTCCTTGTCCTGTCCCGGGGGAATCTTGCTGGAGTGGGGAGGGCACAGGAGAGACATTGGGCCGGAAAAGTGATGACTGGGCCTGTTGTAGGCCCACACCCTGGATGCTGCACTGGGTCCAACACTGCCCCTCACTAGGCCTGAGTATTTGGAGCCTGTGAAATGTTTATCTCTTTCCTAGGAGGACCTGGATTTATCTGAGTGTAAGGGAATGGAATTGCTTTTAAGATGTGACAACTTCAGTATGTAAGGGAGACCTTCCAAGTCACAGATTGAGTTGTTATAGGCTCCTTTAGTCCTTTCCCTTTTCCTTCCTGCCCTTTCACAGTATGAGATAATGATACAGTTTAGACACTACAAAACTGCCTTCAATAAAGCAGCAGACATTGCAGATTATCACAGTACACTGTGATTTGTCTTCTGGAATTTTATCAGGAACATGGGTCAAAGTAAAAATTGGGCCATTATTAGTAGTTATTTTTTTATCTTCCCATACAGTAGTGCTCCCTTGCGGAACTATCTCATCCCCTGTAGAAATCTGAACTCAACAGGTCAGAGACAAATTCACGGTCTCCACCTGGCCCCAGATGCTGCACTTTCCCTGTATATTTTCCTACATGTCATATTTAAACCTCCCAAATATTGCTTATCTGTGCCTGTCTAGAGTGCCCCAGAATTTCTCATTTCTGCCTCACTAGCCACCTCAGGTGCCCGACTGCTGCAACAGCTCCTTATTTTCCACCCCAAGCTGTGCCTTGTCTACTGACATCTACTCTCTCTATTTCTTAAAATGGTTAGCTTTTTTAAAAAAGCTCAAAGTCCATATTAGAAATATTGGACAATACTGAGAATAAAAGAAGCATACTTATCTGCAACCCCAGCATTCAGAGAAAACCACTGTTTTTTAATATTTTGTCATAGCTTCCCAGAATTTCATATATGTGTGTGTGTGTGTGTGTGTGTGTGTGTGTGTGTGTGTGTATGGAAATGTGCTTTAAAAATAAAATTAGGAAGATAGTGTATATAATGTTATGTGTTCATATTTTTTCTGTTAGTTTTATTATGAATTTGTTTTCAAATTTTATGTATTTGGTAAAGTCTTACTATGCAGCTTGGACTCATGGCAGTCCTCCTGTTTTCAGCCTCCCCAGCGCTGGGATAATAGGCATGGACTACCATGCCCAGACTCAGTGGCCGGCTCAGTGCACCTGGGGGTGGCATTCAGTACTGGGAACCGAACTTCGGTCCCTGTGCTTGCCTAAGCAGGTGCTTAGTCCACTGAGATATCTCACTGGTCCTTATTATGAAAATTTTCTTTTATCAAATTCTTTTTTAAAAAAATTTGGTAGGGCTGGTGAGATGGCTCAGTGGTCTAAAGCATCTACTTAGAACAAGCTTAGCAAAGCACAGGGACTGTGGTTCAATCCCCCAGCACCACATGCCAGCCAACCCTGCCCCCTGGTGGGCTGAGCTGGCCACACACACACACACACACACACACACACAAATTTTAAAAAAAAAAATTTGGTACTAGGGGCCGGGGAGATAGCTCAGTAGAATAAGCACTTGACTGGCAAGTGCAAGGTCCTGAGTTCAATCCCCAGTACTGAAAAAAAGAAAAAAAATTGGTACCAGGAATAGAACTCAGAATCTTACATTTGCAAAGCAAGCACTTGTGCTTCTGAGCTATATCTCTGACCCTATCATCAAATTCTTTAAAAACTTTCTTTTCCTTTCTTTCTTTCTTTCTTTCTTTCTTTCTTTCTTTCTTTCTCTCTCTCTCTCTCTTTCTTTTTTTTTTATTTTTTATTTTTTGGCAGAACCGGGGATTGAACTTATTCTACTGAGCCATCTCCCCAGCCCCTCTCAAGAAACTTTCTTGCGGCTGTATCACATCTGTTATTGACTTCACCAGGATTTACTTAAAATTCTTCTATTGTTGGACATGAAGATTATTATGTTTTTGTTACTGTAAACAACTAGCTCTGTGATTAATATCCTTATATATAAATCTTTGTGCCTCTTAGATTAGAGTCATTTAAACAGCAATGTGAGGTCAAAACAACCCAGGGAATTTTAAGGCTCTTAATTCATATTCCCTAGTTTCTTTGCAGAAGGATCATTTGTTCCCACCTCCCCCAGAAGCATGCAACACTGTACTTTACCTAACAATAGATGTGAACATGAAAAAATTCTTCACCAAATGTGTAGAGGAAAGTGGTGTCCAACCAGTGACTCTTACAACAATAGACCTGACTTAGACCCCCAGTGCCACAGGATAAAGTCCCCACTTCTGTCAGGAGCACCCAGGATAGCTGCTCCTTGGCCAGCCTTCATTTGGTCATGGCCAGAAAGGTTTGAGAGTCTGACATTGACTGGGAACCACTGAGGAGAATGAGTCTTCTCTGTTGGCTCTCACCCATAAAGGGGGTAGACAGAAGGCCTGAGAGGGAAGGTGGGAACTCATGCTGAATAGTGTTGGTCAGCAGTCAGGGGACAGGAGGGCTGGACTCTTGTGGAGAAGCCAGACTGTACAAAGGCCTCTGAGGCCAGAGCAGGGAAGAGAGTGAAGTGTCTCTGCTGTGTGCTCACTGATTTCTCAGAAAGGGAAGCTGCAAAGAGGCTGGGTAAAGGCAGGGGCAGCTGTTAATGCATCCCTGAGACAGGGTAAGAGGGGGCAGAGCAGCCCTAAAGCCAGGTGAGGCCTGGATGGCCAGCACTGGGATTTATAGTTATTCCTACTACTAAGGAGGGAATGCGAACCTGTGGGCTCTGGGCTCTCTGGGTAGTTGGTGTCTCAGGGCCAGATAGGTCTGATGATCTTTTTAAAAATAAATAAATAAATTTATTTATATTTTAGGGAAGTGTCTACAGAGTATTCAGGGTCTCACTACTAGTTTGGACTTGTAGTGATCTGCCTGTTTACAGCCTCCCAAGAGCTAGGATTACAGGTCCGTGCCACCACACCCAGTCTCAGGGCACCCTGAGGGCTGGGCCTGCATGGCAGGCTGGGGCAGGGGAGGGGGAGGATGGAACTCTCCAGCCCCTGTGCCTGCTTGCAGGCGTTTTAATCCTCTGAGCTATTTGGCTGGCCTCTGATGATCTTGAAGTCTGGGCCTCATTCTTGCCTCTCTGTGACCTCCCAAAGAGGGGAGGCTTTGCCTGTCATCCGCAGACTCCATCCCACCTCTGCTCAGATGTGGGGGTGATGCCAAGCTCTGCCATTACCATCATTAAATTGCCATGTTCATATATTTCTGAAACTTGTGCAGGACCCGATATCGAGTAGTTCTGGATGCCAGGACAGGAGCAGAATGGGGTGCTCTGTGCTCTTGGAATAGCATTGGAAACCAAGGTCACAGGAGGAGCACAGTTAGAGGTGTGAGGCAGGGTGGTCCCTGCAGGTGGCATAGGGCTGAGCCTGAAGGGCTAGGTGGCTCTTCTGTACATAGTGCAAGTGTTGGAAGGAGTTGCTTTGTGTGTGGGATTCAAGAAGTTCAGAGCTGGGCAGTGCAGGGAAGGGTGGGGCTGTGGGGCAGAAGGCTAGGGGAGCTGGTCAGTCAGGGTCACCTGTAAGAGGCTCAAGTGCCCCTGCTGAAGAGTGCCACTTTGTATGGGGCAGTGGGGAGCTGTGTTTGAGTTTTGGTGGGAAGAGTGATGCAATCTCATGTACTTTTCAAAATGATTCCTCTGAATGCTGCCTGGAACATACATTGCAAAGATGAGCAAGACAAGTTTTGAGAGCAACCAGGAGGGTGCTGTGGAGGCCAGCGGGGAGGCTGTGCTTGGGCTTGGGACCACAGCAGAACAAAGAGCCAGGGGTATTTGTGAGCTATTTGGTGGCAGAATTTGTGGAACTTGGTGCTGCCTTTCTGGGATGAAGTCACTGGTAGTCCTGTACCCTGTTCCACATTGACATTGGCAGTGACAGCCTCACTTCCTGTGCAGAGCCCTGCCCTCCCTCACGTGCAGGCTTTTCTGCTGCTGCATACCTTCTTGGCAGCCTCCTTCACCTCCTTGTTCCTCAGGCTGTAAATGACAGGGTTCAGCATGGGTGTGACCACAGCGTAGAAGACTGTGAAGACCTCATCAGAGATGTGGGCCTCCTTGCTCTTGGGTTTCATGTACATGAAGATGATGGTGCTGTAGAACAGCAGCACGACGGCCAGGTGTGCTGAACACGTAGAGAAAGCTTTGCGACGCCCTGTGGCTGAGGGCACCCTCAAGATGGTGGCTAGGATAAGTGTGTAGGGCAGGCAGATGAGAGCCAGGGGCACAGGCAGCAGCAGGATGGCACCTGCCAGCAGGAAGGCCTCGCTCACTGATGTGTCACTGCAGGCCAGCTTCAGCACAGCTAGGATCTCACAGGTGAAGTGACTGACCACGTGGTGGCCACAGAAGGGCAACTTCATGGCAATGACTGTCTCAGTCACTGACTTGATGAGGCAAAATACCCAGGCGGCTCCTGCCAGCAGCAAGCAGAGCCTGTGGCTCATCAGCACGGTGTATCTGAGTGGCCGGCAAATGGCCAGGTAGCGGTCGTAGGCCATGATGGCGAGCAACAGGCACTCTGTAGAGCCCGTGGCCAGGCTGAGACACATCTGGATGGCACAGCCAATAAAGGAGATGGTCTTCTGGGTTGACAAGAGGTGGGCCAGCATCAGGGGCACAAAGGTGGATGTGTAACAGATGTCCAAGATGGAGAGGTTGCCCAGGAAGAAGTACATGGGTGTGTGCAGGCGGGCATCTAGCACGCTCACTGCCACAATGGCCGCGTTCCCCAGCAGGGTAACTAGGTACATGGCTGAGCACAGAGGGAAGAGCAGGCGCTCCAGAGCTGGGTAGCCTGAGAATCCCTTCAGAAAGAACTCAGAGACCGCTGTCTTGTTGACAGGTTCCATGCTGCACACTGCAGAGATGTACAGCTTGGATGGAAGGAAAGCAGGTGCAGGGCGGTGGCAGCTCACAGAGCCTCTTCTGTGACTTGAGGGACGGCTAGGGTCTTTGCCGGCTCAGATATACGCTTCTCTTCGTGACACTGGGGCATTCCCATCACCCTTTCTTGGTCTGAGTTTATCCAGTGAAAACTGAGGATAGATACGATCATTTCCCTAAGAGAATGTTAATGGAAGTGTGAATAGGCAATCTGAAAATCACTCTGAGGCAGTGCTAGGCTAATAATTAACAGTCCTTCTTGCAGGACTTCCCAGAACATTTAGTATGCTGATATGATTTGTGATTTTTTCTTTAAAGCAGTGCTCCCATGCGCTCCTCTATTTTTTCCCTCCTGGGTCTCCCTTTCACAGAATACCACTTAATGTACTGCAGATAAGTGATCTATGCACATAGTTCAGGAACCAAAGGTTTGGATCAGAAATCCTCCAACTTCCACATTTACCAGAATGGCCTGTAAAGTATTAAAACACAGATTGATGCCTCCACTCCTAAATCTTCTGACTCAGTAGATCTGCGTGCTGATATTACTGGCCTACACTTTGAGAACTCCCAGCTAGACAGTCTCAGGCTCTGCCTGGCTTGCAGGCAGCAGTTGAGTCATTCTCTGAGCCTGCCTGTGGGCGAGTCCCCCGTCCTCACAGAGCCCTTCTCATCAATTTGTGCGGGCTGGGCCTTCAGATCCTGCTTTGGCTGTGGGCTTTCCAACTAGTTTCTCTTGGGCAGAGGCAGGGCTGCTGTGATTTTATGAACTCCAAGGGCATTTGCATAAAGAATGCCCTGGGAGATCAACTTGTTGGATCTTGCATGGTTTGTGGGCCGGGAAACTGAGGTCACACAATGGGTCTGTGGGAAGTCAATCTTGAATTTGATCCTCTGGCATTGTGACAGCTACACACACCATGCTCAGGATGGATGTTTACTTCCATCAAGCCCTGCTCTGTCTGCTCCTGTCACTCTAGATAGACGTCCTACCCCCAAGAATTCAACACCTTCTTAGAGTTTCTGGGTACCTGGCCTGGTGTCATCAATCCCACTACTTGCATTGCCACAGCCTGGGTGCAACTGAGTGTTAGTTCCTCTCAGTGCTGGTTTGCATGAGCCTGTTTTCTTCATTTGTTCCCCCCCTTTATTTATTCCAAAATCAAGGAGGCATTGAAGACCTGCTACATGCCATTGTGCTGGGCCTTAGGGAGCAAGTGAAGCCACTGCCAGGCAGCAGTCCTCTCTACTGTTCCACACCTGGTCACATTTTGCTTCTGTTTGCACATCTCTGGTGACAGGAAGCTCATTAATGACATGCCTTCTCTCTCCCCTCCACTCCCCTCCTCTCCTCTTTTCTCCTCCCCTTCTTTCCTTCTCTCCTTTTCTCTCTTCTCCTCTCTTCTTCATCTCCTCTTCTGCTCCCCTCCCCTTCTCCTTCTCTCCTCTGCTCTTCTTTTCTCCTCTTCTCTCATTCTCCTCCTTCCCCTGATTCTGGGAATTGATCCCAGAGCCTTTGCATTGAACTACATTTCTAGCCCCTTTCTGGGTCTTGCTAAGTGGCTAACTTGCCCAGGCTGGGCTTGAACTTGCAATCTGCCTGCTTTAGCCTACAACACATCAGGGATTACAGTGTGTGCCAACGTGCCCAGCTACTTTTCTTCCTTTCTCTTTGTTGACAGGCCATTTCCAGAGTCACACTGGGGCTCTACTACCCCTGTGTACAGGCAGAGTGGCCTCTGTAGGTACTCTTTACTCTCACACAGTGGAGACACAGGGCTCAGTGCTTAGCCCCACACTGAGCCCTACCTCAGGGAAATCCCTCAAGGGCTGCCTCTGAAGCAGGTCTAATCTTGGGGTTCAGATAGAAGCACTCCAGAGTCTCAATGGGATCTTGGGTAGTGTGGGCTGCAAGCTCTCTCCAAGACTCAGCAGGTCAGCTCTGAGGCTGGCTTCCTGAGGGAAGAGGATACCCTCATCTAATAGAGTGCCAACCAATAGGTACTGTGTCAGGCTGGGGGCAAGAGTAAGACACAGAGACTGTGTGGTGTTTGCCTTGCAGCCCCAGTGACAGGGTTAGACAATACGCTCTTTGCATAGTTCCACATGTTACAATTTATCCCTTGAAGTTACTAGGGAATGCCTGCATCTGTAGCCATTGTCTGTTCTGGAAGATTACATACAACCACGAAGTACCCACCTATATTTGAATATATGAACACCTGTTTGACATGCAGGTATGTAAATATGTGCTTGGGTGTGAATATGCCACACATAGGTTCATGTGTGACCATTTACATGGGTGTATGTGCTTAGGTCTCCCTACCCCCACCAACCCACAGAACAGAGAGGACTCTGAGCCCTGTAGCCAGCATGCTTCACAGGCCTAGGCAGGATGCCTTATTCCTGGGAGGAGGTACAGAGAAGTGATAGCCAGACAGAAGGTTCAGAAGAATCCCTGGGGCCTTTTTACCAAAATGGTGCTGAAGGTGAAGAAGGAAGCTCCTGCCTTCCAAAGCTGAAGCCAAAGCCAAAGCAAAAAGCTTTGAAGGTTAAGAAGGCTGTGCTGAAAGATATCCATGGTTACAAAAAAAAGAACATATGAACGCCACCCACCTTCCGCCATCCTAAGACACTGCAGCTCCGGAGGCAGCCCAAATACTCTCAGAAGAGCACCCCCAGGAGAAACAAGCTGGATCACTATGTCATCCAAGTTCCCTCAACCACAGAGTCAGCCATGAAAAAGATCGAGGACAACACACTCATGTTCATTGTGGATGTCAAAGCCAATAAGCACCAAATCACACAAGCTGTAAAGAAGCTCTATGACATCGATGTTGCCAAAATCAATACCCTAATCAGGCTTGATGGAGAGAAGAAGGCATATGTTTGACTGGCTCCCACTTATGATGCATTGGATGTTGCCAACAAAATTGGGATCATCATAAGGGCTGGCCAAATAGCTCAGTGGATTAAAGCACTTGCAAGCAGGCACAGGGGTAAGGGGTTCGATCCCTGGGCCTGCCATGCTGGCTCCACCCCTGGGGCACAATGAGATGGCAATTGAGACTGGGTGTGGTGGCACATATCTGTAATCCCAGTACTTGGGAGGCTGTAAACAGGTGGATCACTATGAGTCCAATCTAGTAGTGAGACCCTGAACACCCTGTAGACCCTTCCTGAAAATTAAAAAAATTGGGATCATCTAAACTGAGTCCACCTGGATCACTGGGAAGGATCAGGCTTGAGGGTGGGGAGTAAACTGCTGAGGATGAACCAGGAGGACCCAAGAGCCCTGGAACAGGGACTAAGTCTCCAGACCAGTTTACAGTCTTGCCACCTTTCCAGCCTACATGCAAAGGATATGTTTCTAGCTTTATCCTCTTTCCTTCAGCCAAAGGAAGGGGACTAAGGGAAGAAGGGAGAAGGGAAAGAGGGCTGCAGAGCTTTGTCTGCAGACTCGACAATGCTTTTTCTGCCTTTCCCTGTCTCCGGGCTAAACTCTATGCACAAACCACTTCAAGTGGCACCTCTCCTGGGGAGCCTTTCCTTGTCCTCTCCACGCCAGCCTGGGCCTCTTTCCCTTGCACTCTGCGGTCTTACGTTTGTGCCCCTCAGGCGATGAATAGCACTTACTTCTACCTGTTGCCTGTCCTTGCCAGCCCACAAGTTCTCAGGTTCAGAAAGCCAAGATGAGGTTGCATACGGTAAAGCCAACTTCCTCTTGTCTAATTGTGATTTCCTGGGGTTAAGGTAAGCTACGTGGAGAGCTTGTTGCCAAATGTGTCTACTCCCAGCCCAGGCGACACCCTGGCAGAGCTGGGCAGGGTCTCAACTGGGCCACTCCCTTGTTGTACATAGGCAATCTGAGGCCTGGAGAGAGGAAGAGCCTAACCTAGTGAAGCACGGTGAGTTAGAGGGGAAGCCAAGGCCCTCATAATTCTTCAGAGCTCTTAACGTTTTCCTTCTCCTCTTCCACATCCCCATTTCTCACTTACCTTCTGGTTCTTCTGGATATGAGTCTTTGGATTCCTAGAAGATGTTCAGTGTTTGAGACAAGTGACCACCTTTGGATGGAGCTGGGGGCACACAAGTCAAAGATGACCTAGCTGCCTCTATGCAGGGCATCCTTGTGGGCAGGACCCAAGGCTTCTCTCCAGCCCTGCTTTTCAAACTGTGAAAATGTGCCTAAACTTTCATTGGATTCAATGAAGTATTTGCAACTTAATAGAATAAAGTGGAGCTTCTGAAACTTTCCAGAAGTAGATGCTTAGTATTCAGTGGGGGTTTGGGCTAGAAAGATAGACCAGTGGCATAAGCGTCTGCCTGATGCCTGGCAAGTGCAAGGTCCTGAATTCAATCCCTGGTACAAAAACAAAAACAAAAACAAAAAGAATTCAGTGAGTTTCATTAAGTGTGTCAGATTTGGTAGACTTAGGACATTGTGGTGGGTTCTAGGCCAAAGAAAGCCTCCAAGAGTTTATGTGGGCGCATAGAGGCCCTGACCTGGGCAGCTCCCAGTTCCATCCCAGCTGAGAGCCTCCAGGAGAGAAGGCGGGCCATGCAGGTGGCATCTTTCAAAGCTCCCTGTGCACTAAGGGACTGGATAATCCCAATGCAATTTAGAGGGAGGAGAAGAAATGTGTCCAACTTAGAAACTTTGGGGTGCTTCAGGGATGATGTCCCAAAGACCCAATTACACAGATTCTGTTTACAGATCTTAATTGGTGTGGAAAAGTTAGAGAAAGTGGCCATGGGCCAGAGATCTATCCTCACATCTGTCCCCAACTAGTGCTGATTCATGGATACATACAGAAGGAATAAAGGAATGAATGGCTGAAAAAACAGATGAATGGGGCCGGGGAGATGGCTCAGTGGAATAAGTGCTTCCCTGGCAAGCGCAAGGGCCTGAGTTCTAATCCCTGGTTCCGCAAAAAACAAACAAACAAACAAACAAACAAACAAAAAACCAAACAG